AATGCTGCACACAACAGTGCCTCCACTGCCAACATGTCATCGTTTTTGGATATCCCTCTATATGGTTATGGTGGCCATTGCAGCATTGTGGCGCGGGAAGTGCACATAGCGCCAGTTGGTATGGCTTTCCTGCAAATGGGCTACTTACACGAACTCTCACAACCCATACAGCGCACTATACGTGTTTACAATAAAGGTCCGCTGCTGGGCTTCGCGCTCGCTTCAATCGATTCGGTTGGACTACGTTTGCCGCGATTATGCACTGCTTTTGAAATACAGCCAGCAGCCATGCTTATACCGCCTGGTTCAACAGCGACTTTGCGTGTAGTTTTCCGGCCACAGCGTGAAGATGTACGAAAAATTACAAGACAAACAAAATCCGTACTCACACTAGCCAATTTGCGTTTAATATCTGGTGATGAAGCAAATAGGCAGCGCATGCGCCAACTGGTGGCGCGCATGTCGCCGGAGGAGCGCGTCAATCTAAGTTCATCTAAATCTTTGGAAGCGTTGTGGGAAAAGCTGCCAGGTGAGAAGGAAATTAAAGAGCTGCAGACGTTCAAGGAATCACCAAAATTGACGTACGATTTGCTAACCCACATGCGTATACACGAAGTTGCACTTACCATTAACGATGACTACTTGGACGAGACTATCAAGTCGACATCTTCGTTTTATTTTCCCGATGAGGATGAGACAGTATTGTTCCGCACAGTATGCAGTCCATCGCCCAGTAATGCTGATGGTTCGGGCCACGTTTTGGATCGTGTGGATGAATTAATAGAGGAGGATGTTGAGCAAGCCAACAGTAACAATTCGTCGACACGCGGCGAAGCTTGTTGCTGGTCTGTTTCGCCCAGCTCATTATGTTTTTATTTGCGCGGTGAAGAACGCCCATTGCGTTCATCGATTTTCATTTGCAATTCATTTAAGTCGCGGCAATACTTTGAAGTGAGCACGAACCGTAAAAACTTGTTGCAGTTGACGCCCTCAGAGGGTTATGTGGAACCCGATGGTGGCCATTTAGAGGTGGAGGTGAGTTTGCTATGCGACAAATTGAATGCGGAAAATAAGCAGGAACCGTTCAACATTACGGTATGTTAAATGGCTTTAACTATCACAGCTGAGCTAAGTTTTTTTTTTTTAATTTGATTCTTTTTTTAGATTTCTATGGAAAATGAACGTATAATTGTGCCAGTGGAATTGTGCGATGAGGTGCGTCCAGCGGAGAGTGTATAATGTGACAAAAATATCTGCTTTGTAATTAATTTTAAACAATTTGCTGCAGTATAGTTTTTGTATTACTTACTTGTATCTGTCTCCTCCTCTGTTCGTTTAAAACAATGTTTACTTTTTTATGCAAAATAATATGTATTTATTTATATTTTATATGTTAAACTCTTTAAAGCTATGCATGCACGGTTTTTACATTTTGTTTCACAATTCCTGCTGATATTTATTAATAAATTTACCAACTATTAAAGAAAACTAAATCTCTTATTTCTTCAAGTCTAATAGCCTTATCCATGAAAATTAAAATGGATTACAATCGCTTTATGAAATGTAGGGTATGTTCTTAAATGTTAAAATACAAGGCATCTCTCTTTTTTTATTTTTTAACTCAGTAGATTTCTTTAAAAAGATGCCAGCTTTCTAATAGGTTGCGCAAGTTGGAACTTTTCTTCGGGTGGGGTTAGAAATAAAAGGTATAAAAGGTAGAATTTCGAACCTACTTTTATAATTATGGGACTTGTTAGATAAATTACATTTATAAGATTACTTTTATATTCATAGCCACATTATTAATATTAAGTGAAACTGATGCGCTAAATAATTCAAAATATTAATAGGAATGTAATATGTGGTTCACACTTGATATGAATATAAAAGTAATCTTGTAAATGTAATATATCTAACACGCCTCCTTACTTTTGTATTCAATATTCAATATTCATATTATTTTATTTTATTTTTTGAGTTATTTAGCACATCAGTTTTATTTAATATTATTATTAAGTGTCATCTCTATATTGTAATTTCTGAATTCTTCCCTTTTTATATTTTATCGTTGCCGAGTATGCTGTATATTCACACAGTATTAATATTAAATAAAACTCATGTGCTAAGTAAATAACTCAAACAAGGAGTTTAAAATAGTATTTATATATTTTCATATGGTAGCAGAGCAAGCTTTGCTAACCAAAAGCCATTGACATTGCCTATTATTTTGTATACGAACTAAAAGAAATAAAGTTTGCAAGTGGTGGCTCATGAGGGGATCGAACCCGGTAGCAGAGTGGAAATAAAATTTGCACGTAGCAGGGTGGAAATAAAGTTTGCACGTAGCAGCAGAGTGGTGGTGAGCAAGTGCTACACGAGGTCAGAAATTGCAAGTTAAAAATGCATTCACTAGTAAAATGGGATGAGGTTATGATACCTATTTTCGATGGCGCTGACTATACGCATTGGAAAAACGCATCCTAAAATTCTTGGAGTTCAAAAAGTGTAACGAGGTAGTGAGTGCTGCGTGAACAAATGAGTACCGACAAACCCGAAGATTGGTCATTTATGGAAATTAAGGCGCATAACATTATATACAGCGTAATTTCCCATGCTCAGTTTGAATTCATTGGTGATTTAGATACACCACGCGAAATAATGTTAAAATTTGACCAAATGTACGAAAATAAATCGACAGCTCTTCAAATACTGTATCGAAATCAAATCGAAAGCACGAAATTGCAAAAGTATCAAAGTGCTGAGAATTTCTTCAACGCTTTTGAAAAGGTGTTCAATGGTCTCAAAGTTGCGAGAGCCACAATTAAAGAGGAATAAAAATTAAATTACATGTTGAAAGCATTACCGGCATCCTATAGTCATATAGGAGATTTGATGGATGGGCTGCCACAAAAAGAAAAAAAACGTGTGAATGGTTAAAGCAGAAGATTAAACTGAAAGCTGCGAATATAAGCGTAAGCACAAGCAGCGATGGGTCATTGGCGAGGTCCAAC